ATGTTATGTTGTTGGATAGGGCTTTCAAGGTGCCTTGTCTCTGTTCGGTCTGTGTCAGGGCAAAGTAATGAGGTAATTTGGCATTTTCCGTATTTGAGATGTGGTTAATTGATTGTATAGGCATCATATGGAGAGGACTACCCTGGTCCCTACCTCTTTGTGAAAATGATGCGGTATTTTTACTCGGCTACACTTGGAGTGAGGTGTTTTATGGGTGAATCCTCAGGAGGCCTATAAGATGGATCGGTAGATCAGATCTCTTCCTCTTTATTCCTGGCAGCACACTGGTCATCCGAATTGACAACTTTACGATCATTGGTTGGTTAAACAGGCCATACTGGAAAATAATACTACTATTGATATGCGATGGTTTGCTAATCGGCCCTTTTGTATTATGTTGACTTTGTAGACGGGATGAAATGCATAAGGGGTTGGAACACCTGAATCCACTGATTTGGAGGGGTGTCCCAATACTTCTGACAATATAGAATGTATGTGGGTTTTTTTTGACACACAGTGGCGGAAAATTTATTTGATCCCCTGCAGAATTTGTAAGTTTATCCACTTGCAAAGAAATAAAGGGTCTATGTTTTATCGTAGGTGTATTTTAAATGATGGAGACAAAATAACAAAAAAAAATGATCCAAATGTTATAAATTGACTTGCAGTTCAGTGAGTAAAATAAGTATCTGATCCCCAACAATAATTCTGGCTCCCACAGACCTGCCTATGTGCTCATGTGGTACACAGATTAGTCCTGTCAATTTAGGAAGGTGCTCATAACGACAACTCGTTGTGTATAAAAGACACCTGTCCACAGAATCTCTTTCTTCCTCCCCATCATGGACAAGACCAAAGGATGTCAGGAACAAGATTGTAGACCTGCACAAGGCTGGAATTGGCTACAAGACTCGGCAAAAAGCTTGGTGAGAAGGAGACAAGTGTTGGAGAGAGATTTCACAAATGGGAGAAATACAAAATAACCATCAGTCGCCCTCAGTCTGGAGCTCCATGCAAGATTTTGCCTCATGGGGTAAAGATGATCGTGAGGGATCAGCCCAGAACTACACGGGAGGAGCTTGTGAATGATCTCAAGGCAGCTGGACCACAGTCATCAAACAAACCATTGGTAACACAGTACGCCGCCATGGATTGAAATCCTGCAGCGACGTAAGGTCCCCCTCCGCAAGAAGGCACATGTACAGGCCCACCTGAAGTTTGCCAATGAACATCTAAATGATTCGGAGAAGGATGTGGAGACCGTGCTGTGGTCAGATGAGACCTAAATTGAGCTCTTTGGCATTAGCTTCACTCGCCATGTTTGGAGAAAGAAAAAAAAAAAAAATGCTGACTATGACCCTAAGAACACCATTTCTACAGTCAAGCACGGAGGTTAAAACATTATGCTTTGGGGCTGTTTTTCTGCTAAAGGTATAGGCTGGCTTTGCCACAAGATTGTAAAATCTTGGATGAGAACCTTCTTCCCTCAGCCAGAACACTGAGGATGGGTCGTGGATGGGTCTTCCAGCATGACAATGACCCAAAACATACAGCCAAGGCAACAAAGTAGCTCAAGAAGAAGCACATTAAGGTCATCGAGTGGCCTAGGCAATGCAATTAAAAAATAAAATAAAATTTTTTTATATATATCTTTTCTTGTGGTGATGTACCTATGCATTGGATACCTGTTATACTTGCGTTTTAATGTTTTGGAGAAGTAGTTGCTACCATGAAATGCACCACAAAGACAAAAAAATATATTTTGGAATATGGACACTGTATTTTTATTGTGGGATTATACACAAGTGTTTGTAATGTATGTCTAGTAAAAACTTTCAAAAAATGTTTCCTATTTTCAATCAAATCAGTTGGGATTTTACAATGATTAGCCCAACCTGAGGGGTTATTCTCACCTGACAATTTTGAGGCCTTTTATCATATGGTAGAGGAATTTAGTAAGAAGTGGACCTGACCATTCTTGCACTAAATAATTTACTGTGTCTTTCGAGGACACTGTAGATTAATTATACTTGCATTCCTATATTAGTCTGAGAATGCAAAATCCACTTCAAGTAGGTTAAATGCAGGTAAAGTTTATTTGCCAGTTAATTCTAAGGCTATACTCACACCTTAGTGAGGTGCGTGTTGAACCTTGCCTGAGTTTGATTCTCCCCCTCTCTTCTCCCCTGCTAGTTTGCAATAATACTGGTATTTAAAGAAGTGGTCCTGGGTTCATCTGATTCAAGTGGTCTTGGGCGCAGTATGATCAACCTCAGGCACGGTTTGGAGCACTCGCACTACACAAACGAACTGGTCCAAGGTGCTGAACGGTGTCTGGGACTGGTTAAAAGTGCTAGTGTGAGTGCACCCCAAATGAGCCATTGACACAAACCCTAAGCTTCACAACCTAAGACTTTACTGTTTTGACAACAGCTGAACGTTTCAGTGCGCTGTTGGCATGGCTGCTTGTAGTCCAGCTCAGAAGTGTGTAGGAAAGGGT